TAAACAGTTACCTAAAATATAATAAAACCGTTTTTAGGGTTCCGTACGGTAAAACGGGACCCTAGCTATTACTAAGGCTCCTCAGTCCGTCCGTTCGTCCGTCACCAGGCTGTATCTCATGAACCATGAAAGTTAGAAAGTTGAAATTTTCACAGAGTATGTATTTCTGTTGCAGCTATAACAACAAATACTAGAAATCCTAGAATATATAATATAAGCAGTGTTGCCAACATGTTTATAGATGATGGTACGGAACCCTTCGTCCGACTCGCACTTGGCCGGTTTTAATTTATTGTACATAGGTAGATATCAAATTATGTTTAAGTGTTCAAAGAATTAATTTATTTGAACATATAAAAATGTGTTCATCAATAAGTTATTTTTCGGTTTTAAAAATTATTATCAGCTGAACTTCTACATTTTAAAGTCACTTTTTAGTAGCATTTTCATGGTTAAAATACATTTTTTTGTAGCATTATTGGAAACTCTTTAATGCCTTTACTGTAGGTTTCTAATACATCATTTTCCTAGCTCTAATAATCAGATATTTATATACCGATAAACCTCATATAATTATGTAAACTATGTATAGTGTGGTGTGGAATTGATTGAAGTCTGTATAGTTAGATGGTTGAATGAACACTGAACAATGCATTCCAAGTACATAATTGGTTCTAAGGCAAAGCTTTTATTTTGTATTTTCGCTGTTTTTAGAATTTTTTAGGTAGGTAATTTTATTAATTTGTAGTACCTACTTAAGGGGCTAAGGGCGTATCATGTTATAAATTTATAATGAGTACTATTTAGGAAATTCCACATGACATGAAAATTTAGGCTATGTCTATGTGTGCATCGGGTGACAACCACTGAATGCAACTCTCGCAAAATATGTCAATACGACAACTCGAAAAATGAAAGTATTCCAGTTGAATAACTATAAAAACTACAAAAAGAGTAGTAAATGAAACATACTTCCTGAAGTTTGATTGTAATTTCAAAAATATGGTTGAATTTATACTCTCTAGACTAATATGTTTATTAGGAATAATTCTTTTGATTTAAAATTAGATGTGCCCAAAATAAATACAAATGAAATACAGTTATTTCATGGGATTTTTTTAAAAAATCCTTATTTTATGTGCTTTGAAATTGAAAATTGAAAATTGACTCCTAAAAAAGCCTAGATATTTTGTCAAAAAGTTCATACATAATATAAAAACAAGGTATGATCGCAACTTTTTGACGGTTAGATCCTACGGTAAGCTTGTGACGTAGCGTAGTGTATAGTAATAGTAGACTTGGACCCAATCTGGACTTTTGCGATCTTACCATGTTGTTTATATCATGAGTTTATACATGCATAAACAACAGGGCCGTCCTTTGAGGGGGGCGTGGGGGGGTGTCTAACCCCCCACTCATGATTTTTTAAATATTTAGTCGGCAAATTGGACACTTGGTAAAAGTTGTCGACAATTTGGCATCGTCAGTATTTTAATAGTATTTTTATTATTTTCAAAATATATTTGTATATAATATTATATTTCTATAAAAGATAAGACGACGACGACGTCGACACTTCGATTACACCGAATGCTAAAAATAGATGTGTTTATCTACTATCTACTAGTGCATTGCGCGACTGTTGTACAACACGTAAGTATGTAAACTGTTACCCGTAGTCGTATGTATTGACTTATTCTTGGTATTATAAAATATTATTTTATTATTCTTGAAATTTGTTGCACATTTGCAGTAGATAGTTATCAGTTGTCGTCTACTGACTAGGTACTCGTCTATTCGACTATTCGTCCGAGGTTAGTGGTAACGTGTTCTGTAGCTACCTACTAGAAATTAACTGTTTACGTCTTCTATTTATTATAATTTTAATATTATGTGATTATTTTAGATTCTGAGTGAAACGATGAATGTATTGATTTTACAATGATGTGTGTTTTTTATTTTTTTGTGTCTGTGACACATAAGTAGTCGAAATAATGCATCGATTTTCAACTTCAGTATCTTGTTCGATTGGAAAGTCAATATCGTTGGTGCATTGGGGAGGTCAAAATTTAAATTTCCCAGTAGTTTCCAAAGCGCCGGGAAAAACAAAAGAAAAATTAAGGAAAAACGGGAATTTTTACGCAAAATCTGTTTTCGAGAAAATCGATTTTGGTTTTGGTGTAACTTTAAAACAAATGACCGTAGATACATGAAATTTTCAGTGGTTGTTTATATTTGTATTTTCTATACAAGAAAACATTTTCAAAATATTTTGATTTATTTTGAACTGTTTAGGGACATTTTCAGATTCCAATTTTATTAGTTTTTTTTTTTATGAATATCAATAAAAATTTATTTGTTGAGTAAAAATACTTGAAAATTAATACAAGGCCTCCTACTATATTGTTTCAAAGACAGATGAAATATATTAAAAATCGTTAGTCACAGTTTTTTTTTTTAAGCATTAAAGTTCAAAAAAATGACAAAATATGGAAAAATCACGAAAATTTGCAAATTATTAGTTAGAAATTCATAAAAGTTTTTCTTTTTAAATCTAAGATATGAAAATGTAATACAAGATTTCCTTATAAGATTTCCTACATTTATCAAAAAAAAAAAATTCTATAAGAAAGTCAAATTAAATTTTTATTAGCGTTTGAAATTCAAATTTTTAAACAATTGGATATTCACTCAATTTCTCAATGTGGCGATTTCCTTATTTTGTTGTAATTCAAAAACAAATTACTGTAGATACATGAAAATTTCACTGAATGTTTATATTAGCATTTCCTATACACCATACAATTTTGAAAATATTTTGACTCTTTTTGAGGCGTTTACGGACATTTTCAGTTTAAAATTTTTTTAGTTTTTTTTTCTATAAATATCAATAAAGTTTTATCTGTTGGGCCAAAAGTGTAAAAATTTAATACAAGGCTCCTGATATATTGTTACAATAGCAATTGAAAAATATTAAAAATACAAAGGCACAATTTTTTTTTATAAGCATTTAAAGATCGCATTTTTACAAAATTTATCAAAATCTCGAAAATGATCAATCATTGTAATTAATAAATTATAAAATGTTCAGTTTTTATAGCTAAGGATTGAAAATTTAAAAAAAAGATTTAAATAGTTCATACTGTAGCCAAAAAAAACTAAAAAATATATGAGCACAGTTATTTTTTACAGACATTTTAAGTTCAAATTTGGGACGAAATTACATATTAAAAAACCTAGCATACCTATTTTAGTTATTTTATTGTGAGTGTATAATACTATTCGTGGGTACTTGAAACTTCTAAAGTACACTATATTATATATCTATGATAGTTATTGATGTATAACGTGTTATAAGTACCTAATGGATATTGTGATATGATTAATTTGGAATTTATTATAGGTCAATTTTTTTTTAATACTATAGATATGTATATAATATGTCTTAAACCTAGACTGACATACCGTCTTCGCTCAGAATCGTTTTTCTTATACAATGATATTTATCATTGAATTCAAATTTAATAGCATCCATTATACAGTGGACCCACTTCTAACCTACTGTACAGCAGAGCGACATCCACTTACCCACCTTTTTTCTTATTATTCATATAATTTTGCATTTTACTGTTTAAATAATCATGAATTTTGGCAATAAAAATGAAACAAATTCCGGCAAACGAAAGCGGATTAAATTAGAGTGCTTGGAATGTGGCAAAACATTTGACAATGATTATAAGCAAAAACATGAAAAAAATATACATAATGGTAAAAAAGTCGGTACCAAACATTTTGGTGCTCCTAAAAATCCATTCGAAGCTTCTAAATCAAATTCAAAACAAGTAAGTAAAAATACTTAAAATACTTAAAATAAATAATACTAACTATCAGTATTATGTTATTAACAAATAAAAATTAGTAAATTGTATTAATATTTATGTAAGTAGATATAGGCAGGTACTAAGGTACCTAATGGTATAAATTAAATAATAATATAAATATAAACATAATATAGTAGAAAACGTATTCGAGCGAAGCGAGAAAAAAATTTTTCAGTCGGCAAATTAATAGATCTACCACCCCCCCATGAATTGTTGTTCGGGACGGCCCTGATAAACAATTGCATTCTTAAAAAAGACAGAATTGATAATTATGAAATCAATCATTTTTTCTAATAAAGAGTTCTACATTACAATAAGATAGGGCCCGAAAATGGTAATCGGGGCCTGTATTATAAATACAAATGGGAGCCGGGGGCGCTACCTGGTTTATAACACCCTGGGCCAGTCCACCCCTGATGTGTCTATGTACTGCACGTCTGCACTATACAGGTAAGGTACCTATACGAACCTACGCCTCAATTACTTATACCTACAATTGCGCTATAACTTAAAAATATATAGGTATAAACAAAATAGGCACATAAAAAATATCATATATAGGTACATATTTTTAAACCATTGCTTCTTATCTATATATGGGTGTATAAATATATAGTATTATAGTGAAAAATACACATTATATATAACAATAACAAAAAAGACTGGATACAGGAAACATTTCCATTTAGTACATAATATTTACTATTCATTAAAGCGGTATCATAGCAACCGTATAATACTATATATAAGAAAATACAAAATTCGATTCAACAAAGTCACTTTTATGGTATCTGCATTTACGTATCATCGGTGTATCGGGAGATATGGAAAATACTTGAGTGTTAATTTAATTACATAAGTATAATTAAAAATATAATAATATATCATGTATTTTAAATAATAAATATATATATATATATATATATTATATATAAAAAGTATTCATTTTTATTTAATATAATACGAACTTGTTTTATATTTACGTGTATTTTTTTATAAGCAATCAGTTATTTATGCATATAGGTGTATAAATTAGATCATATATTAGTATAGGATCTAAGGTGTATACTGTATAGTGAAAAAGAGAGGGAGATCTGATACATTCTATTTATCGTCATAATGTCACGTCCTATGATGATACCAACCCTAAGCCCAAAATTTTTTTTCGGTCTCACAACTCAAGTGAACGGCAACTGTTTATTTCTGAATGAAAATGAAATCGTCTATCCAGCGTCTGGTGTCCTCGTCATTCACAACACTGCCCATCATAAACAAAAGTATATACACCTGGCCGAACCACAAAAAGTCATCACTGCTATGGCCCTCTGCATTAACAAGTATGCTCGTACTATCTATATTATACATTTGTTTGTGTCATATGAACCATATACATTGATATAACTGCATATAGATATTATAATAATTAATAGCCAATACCTAGGTACTTAGTTTATTATAATTATGACAATTTTAAAGACAGTCTATCGATTATTAATAATAAATTATTTTTTATTTTATGAATTTAGCAAAAAACCTATGTTTAGGTAGTATTATAATTTGCCAATATGGCTATATATATATATATATATCATCAAGGCCGTAACTGAAAACAAATTTTTGGGGGGGGGGGATCATATAATTTACTTATACTTCATGAACAGGATTGTTGATGACTGACCACTGACCATTACAGTGAAACTTTCTTTGAACAATTTTCTGATTCAGACATTGTATCAAATAAAAAAACCAAATAGATATAATATGCACTTCTATTTAAAAAATTTGACTATGATAAGAATTTTGTTGGTAGTCCATGAGAATCCGTAACATAAAAAATTCACTGTATTACTATAGGTAACTATATTACCTACAGTACCAATGTGTCTATGTAATTATTTGTATATAAATAATAAATACCTAAAAATATCAGTAAGTCTATAAGAGTATTCATACCTATTTGCTATTTAGCTTATAGTATACCTATTCATATAGGTACCTATAGTTACTGTAAATTACAGATCCAAATCACAATCCTATTAGAAAACCGACTAGGTACACCAAATAATAATATATTTGTATTTCATTTTTTAATAATTTATTATAAATTATACATACAAGATACAACAAATTATAGTTATTTTAACTAACTAGTAACTATGTATACAAATATAAATATAATTTGTCTGACTTTTTACCATAATTTAGAAACGTTATAGCTGTGGCAGAGAAAGGTGACAAGAAGAAACCTACCATCAGTATTTATGACCTGGACTCAATGAACGAAAAAACTATTAACAGTGTTAACGGATTTGAAAACCGATAATTTCATTAATATCAAATTCTCATTTGATGATATTTATTTGGCAGCCCTCACTAATGGACCGGATTTTATGATGTACTACTACAATTGGGAAAATTCAAAAATCGAGAGCTACGTGAAAGCTAGCAACCCTCCAAATGCTGAAGGACCAGTGTTAGACGTATGTATACATACTATATTTATGTATAATATATATATATATATATATAACGTTTTTGTATATAATATAACATATTGGCAATTAAAAATATTATGAAGAACATATACATAATATAATATATATAAATGCGAGTTAAACTTTTGTTAATGTGCTAATTGTAAATGTCATTAACAATATATAAATTATCACAGATGGCCTTAAATCCATCCGACAATACTATATGCTGTTTTGTTGGTAAAGGGCTATTCCGGCTAGTCACTATCAGTGATTCTATTTGGCGACAGTACGGTTTTCAAAAAGCCGACAACTTGGATTTTTCCACTGTATGTTGGTTGAACGGTGATAGGTAATGTATTGTTGAAAATGTCAAGTTAAAACATTTTTTAGTGATTACTGATTTGTAACTAATGTCCGATATAAATGTATAGTTGAACGTTTTGGATGTCCCAATTTCCCATAAAATAAGGCAGTGGAGTAGCCACGATTTTTGATTAGATGGGGAGCGACATTTGTTTCAAGATCAAAGTAGTTAGGTATATAGTTGGACATGAACAGTTGCGCCAAAATTTGTATTTTATTGCGGTCCTTATTTTTACCGTCAATTTATACATTGTTTGAAAAATAAAAAATTATTATTGATTTGTGTAATTATATTGAGACTTCAGTGAAACATCATTAGGTATTTCATTATTATATCAATAAACTAAAATATGCATTTGAATGATAGACAAAAAAAAGTTTTTTAAAAACAAATGCTTAGTAAAAAAGGTAAACCGCGTATTGTTAATTCTCATTTCTCAATGAATTTAAATTTCGAAAATTTTTTTCTAATACAAAAAATGGAGTAAAGTTGAAGTTTATAAACGAACAAAATGTTTTTATTAAATCTGAAAAAAGCTATTAATTGTTATACCTTTTATGAATAATTTGTATTAATAGTTATTACACATTTTTATAAAAATGTATTGTAATATACAGAAATATAGAATAATATTTTTATAGCACTTTATTTATTCTAATTATATATTTATGTATATTAGATCATAATGTATTATTGACGTCCTGTTCATTGTATTCCAATAAAATAATGTTATGTTCTATTAAATAAAATGAATATTATTAAGCTGTTATTGGTTATATTATTCAATTATGAAAATTACCGAGCTCAATATTATTGGTCCATCGATCTAGATACGTAATTGATATATCGACCCATAAAATGACCGAGCTCAATAATTGGTACCTATATGAAAAGGTAATTTTAAGCGCAATTGGTAAACTCCCATAATACATATTATAGTTATACCTCTGAGATACTCAGTGATGAACTATAGAGTTTTAGGATATTTTTTACTACTTGATGGTTAATTTTAAAAACTATTTTGGTCTTCCGGTATTGATGTACGATGTAACTTAATGGCTTAATGTAATAAAGTTTTTTACGTAAATTTTTATAATACCTACCTTAAATTAAAGCTTAAACTCATTATCGACCTAAGAGTATAGTTTTTGACTTTTTTCATAAAGTGATATTCCAGTTATTTTAATTTTATAAGTTAATTTAAAATTATGACAATATAATATGGTTCAATATCTTGTGTTTAATTTTCAAGTTTTTAATTTTTAATGCGAGTTTAGGTAGATCCAATACGGCTATACCTAAGCATGAGCATGTGATTATATTAATATAGTATGACTAGTAGGTATACCCAACGATACAAGTTATAAAATTATATAATATATATACAACTTTATAGGATTTTAGCTGGTACTATGGATGGTCGTATAGTAATAGTAGAGAATGGAGAGCTTATAGCTATGTACAACGTCAAAACAATGATGGATTTTGATCCAAAACATAGAATAAAAGCTCCTTTAGACGTAGTTCCCTTATCAAAAGAAAGCAATCAACGAATGGACATAAGATGCTGTATTCCGATCAAGATAGGTTTAATATTCGTGTTTGGCGATTCATGTGTTTATTACTACGAAAAAACTAATCATAGGTTTGCTAAAAAAAATTTAAAAATAGATAGTTAGGTACCTGCTATCCACTAAGATTTTCAATTACACTGAATTCTTCATTTTACAGATACAAAAGACGAAATGAATTCTTGAAGCAAACTGACTCAAACTTAAATGCTCTGGATACCGATAGACCTATGCATAACATAGAGACACTGTCTATAAGTCCAAAAAACCTAAAAATGATTTGTGTTACAAGGCGGTCACAATTGTTTTGGGCACCGTTGACTGAAATTCCGGACACATATATGGTAATACTCTAGAAATGAGTAATAATATAGTCAGGACACAATTCAATGTATACCATTATACCAATGTTTTATTGTAGAACGCACAGAATATTGTTTACTTTAAGCCTCTTGGTGAAGATTTGCATCATGGTGGTATCTCCAGCTTGTCAACGTGTAAATGGAAACCAATATTCATAACTTGTGGCAAGGTTGACCACACTATTAGGGTTTGGAACTATTTGAATTGTTCATTATTACTGTCACAACAATACCAAGAAGATGTGTTTAGTGTTTCACTACATCCTTCTGGGTTATATTCCGTAGCCGCATTCACGGGGAAAGTCGAGTTCCAATTGGTGCACACAGAAGGTCTGAAATCGTGGAGAGAGTTCGCTGTGACGAGTTGTAATTTGACTGAATTTAGTATGTCCGGTCACATGTTTGCTTTAGCTAACCAATTCGATGTTGATGTATATTGTTCGGTGAAATTTGAGAAAAGGTTTACGTACAAAGGACATTCAAGTACGGTGTGTGTTGACAACGATTACCGACGATTACATGCGTGATAATTTACACGTCATGCATATTGCATATTATACGTACAAATGTTATTGATGTGATGATATATATCATAAAGTTAATGATTTATAGATCACGGCTATGGTATGGGCGCCAAACGATATGAAACTAGTCACGTGTGGAAAAGATGGTGCTATTTACGAATTCAATACAAGGACTGGTGAAAGGGACATGGATATCGTACATTCTAAAACGATTTATATGGATTTGGCAATTTCAAACGACACTAATCAGATTTTCCCAGCTGCTCAAGATGGTCGATTCAAAGAAATAAATAATCAATCGGTTAACTTTTTTATGTCAAATTATATACCTATACAGTATACACTATACACTCAATTATTGTAAAACTTAGGTACCTAAGTAAAATATAGAAGGACCAATGTAATCTTCTCTAAAATTAATTATCATATTTATTTAGCTGTAAAAACCAATTATAAGAGTAAAAAGCCTATAAAAATAATCACATCATCTTATAGTTAAAGTTGTTGAAATAGGACCTAACCATAAGAAGTCTAATTATAATATTTGTCTTAAAAATGGTCTAGGTGGTTCGTGATATAGACTTGCACCAAGGTGCTTTAGACGCGATAGTTTTGTCAAGATCAGATTTAATTCTATTCGTAGCTGGTCAAAATGGTGTTGTGTTATCATTAATGCTACCTATCATGGCTGAAATCAAACACAAAGAGTTTAATATGCACAACAAGAATATTACAAAGGTTTACTAACTATGACATTGTTATTTTAAAATCTTAATCATACAAACTTTTACAGATGAGCATGACAATTGATGATTCAAACTTGATCACCTGTTCGTCAGATGGGAGTATATGTATATGGGAAATTAAGGATGCTGAAGGCAAAAAGGTTATTTTAAATGACCAATTTGCATATTCTGATGATATTCTAGTGAACGCTTTGGATTTAAAGAACAAAATCGAAAACATGGCAGAACTTAAAATGAGAGTGAATGAGTTGGAAAGGGAAAGCAAATATCAAATTACTCAACTTATAAAATCTAAAGAACAACAGATCCAGGAATTGAATAATAACCATTCGATCGTTATGAAAATATTGGAAAATAAAAATACGGTAGGTAAAACAAGAATAATACGATAAATATTATAATACCTACGGTTAGTACCTACTGTTAATAGGTGCCTTACCTAGATAGTACAAAAATATTGTCATCATTAAATGTGAGTACCTATATAATTATATTTATGTTCAAGGAAATAACTAAAAAACACATGGCTGATAAGAGTAGGTTAGAAATGGAACTAAACCTATTAAAAGATTCGCATGCTCAAGAGTTGGAAGAATTAGAAGCTAATTATAATGAAAAACTCCTATACGAATACGAAAAATATGACACACTTCAAAATGAGTTAATTAAAACTAACTCGGAATTGGAAAAGTAATAATAATTACTATTAACGTTTGATAATTAGTAATTACAATAGGTTAGGTTATTAATTCATACTATATGATCGTTTAAATTATTATATTCCTGTAATTTATACTAGAGATATGAACAAATCTGAATTTGAACAAAACGAAAAATTACAGAAAATAGTAGATCAATTTAAAATAAAACTTAATGAAAAAGATGAACATATTGTAAAAGTAAGTTGTGTACTTGTGTAAATATAATACTTTAAAGTGATTCAAATTTTAAAAGATAATAATTAACAATACTAGGTACGAGGTTCCTACATAATATTTAAATATTATGCGCAATATGGAATTATAGTTCAAGGGCCAAATAAATTGTTCATTTGTTCGAATAGGTTCTCATATTTACAAACCGTTAATCTTATATTCTTATGATATTTTATTAGGTTTTACGATGTCTGGAAAAGTTTTTAAATAGTATAATGTATCTAATAGATCGTAGAAAATATCTAAATTTAATAGTTAATTGGTGGAAATATTAAAAAATTGAATAATTGCCAAATTTTTAACTTAGAATTCGTTAAAAATATATTCAGTAAACGTATACTACCTCATTAATTCTTAAAAAATATTATTATTGTAATCAACCGACTTATTATGATACCATATTTGATATCGTTGATATTATCCAGGAATTAATTTGTACCCGTGCCTATGTAATGTTTTAACTGTAGGCAACCTGAGAACCAACTCGATAATTAGGAACCAAATCCTAATCGTGCCATAAATCATAATCTACCTATATATTATAATGAATAATAATAGTAATTACCAATTACTAATTAGTTACTTCTACCTATTAGACAGTTTGCACTTTTAATATTATAAGCTATAATAGTTGATAAAACATTTAAATAATTGTCTATATAGTTAAAAGAACAATTGATTAAAGATAAACAAAGTATGTCTGATCTTATGCATAAAATCGAAGAGGACGCAGATCGGGAAGTAATGGAGAAAAAGGCTGACTTTGTGAATAAATTGAGAGAATTGAAAAAAGTTAATTTAAATCTTAGAGGCGAACTTGGATCATACAAAATGAAAGCTAAAGCGTGCGTAACCTTTAGGTTAATATTCTGCAGTGCTCGAAATGGACTGGAACGGTGTTCCAGATTTTAATATTAGTCTTTACGTCCGTTTTTGTTGGATATAATATAATTTAAAATTTAAGAGCTCTGGTTCGTAAAAATATTAATTGTCCAAAAAATATATTAAAAGTATAAGCATAATATTATATTTCGTAGTCTGTAATCTGTATTGTATTAAAATAATTAACTATACAACGATATAAAAAAAATAGAGTAGGCAGACTTGTATACATTTTTATTATGATTTATGACTAAAAATGTTTTAAAGCCTGCTATTTTATGCATCAATAGACAATATTATGTTGACCCTTCACTAGCCGAATTCAATAACGAAAAATAATATGTTCGCACATGGTCACAAGTAGGCACATATAGTATTACGACTTATGACACTGAGATACGAAAAAAGACGAAGCTACGTGAAAATTATTACTAACATAGAACCGTTAAAGTGCTAAATATATACTCTGTATGCGATCCGATTCGAAACATTTTCCATTTCGAGCACTGTGTTTAATAATGCTGAAACAGTTACTTAATTGTTTTAATGATTAATTTATGCCAAATTATAATACAATGTGTCAATGTTGATTTAATAGAGCATCGAAGGAAGCAGAAGACTTGGGTGGTCTACTTGAAAAATACGAAGAGGAAATAGCTCAGCTGAAAGTGTCAGTCAAGATCGAAGAACAGACCATCTTAGGCCTTAAGAAGCAAATACAAGTTCGTGACGATATTATAGAGCAAAAGGAATCGCGGATTTTTGAAGAGAAACTTAAAATGAAAGATATTGAAAAACAATTGTTGCTGACGAAAGAAAATGTCAGTGAACTAGAACAAACGGTCGAGCCGTTAATAATGGAAATTCAAGATAAAAAAAAAACTATTGAAGACGTGAGTTTTTATTTAATATAATATGTACCAGGTACCTTTATATAGTAATAAATAGGGCTAGGATTTTGTAGCATTTGCATTTTCTTTCATAGTACTCCAGGACATAGCTAATAAAAAACAAAATTCGATTCATTCATCCAGGGGCGTAACGAGGAGGTTTTTATTGGGGGGCCAAAGTTAGTAGTTTGGCCAACTCTAAAAATTGATCCGGGACAACTTGTTTTTGTTATTTTGTCGTAGCCATTTCATCGTTAAACAGTTAAAATGTTTTAATTATTTAAGTAAATTAAAAATTCAAGCTATTATACTAATAGATTATGAAAATTGTTTATAATATATAAAGATATCCATTACAATTATTATATTAGGTAAGTACCACATTTGCAATAAAATAATAAATAATGTTAAAAAAAATAAAAACAAAACAAAGTAAATAATAAGAAGGTGGGCAAGTGGGTGTCGCTTGCTGTACAGTAGGTTCAAGAGGGTCACTGTATAATGGATTGTATTACATTTGAATTCAATGATATTATATCATTGTATAAGAAAAACGATTCTGAGGGGAGACGGTATGTCCTTCTAGGTATAAGACATATTATATAATTATCTATGGTATTAAAAAAAATTGACCTATAATGAATTCCAAATTAATCATATCACAATATCCATTAGGTACTTATAACGCGTAATACACCAACAACAAACCCTGATACTATCATAGATATATAGAAGTATACTTTAGAAGTTTCAAGTACCCACGAAAAATATTATACAATCACAACAAAATAACTAAAATAGTTATTCTAGGTTTTTTATTATGTAATTTCGTCCAAATTTGAATTTAAAATGTCTGTAAAAAATAACTGTGTTCATATATTTTTTAGATTTTTTGGTTACAGTATGAACTATTTATGAGAACCTTTGTTTTAAATTTGCAATCCTTAGCTATGAAAACTGAACATTTTATAATTTATTAATTTCAATGATTGATAATTTTCGAGATTTTGATAAATGTTGTCAAAATTCGATCTTTAAATGCTTATAAAAAAAAATTGTGCCTATGTATTTTTAATATTTTTCAACTGATATTGTAACAATCTATCAGGACCCTTGTATTAAATTTTTACACTTTTTGGACCAACAGATAAACCTTTATTGATATTTATAGAAAAAAAAACTAAAAAAATTGAAAACTGAAAATGTCTTTAAACAGCTCAAAAAAAGTCAAAATATTTTCAAAATTGTACAGTGTATATAAAATGCTAATATAAACATTCAGTGAAATTTCCATGTATCTATAGTTATTCGTTTATGAATTACAACAAAATAAGGAAATCGCTACATGAGAAATCGAGTGAATATCCAATGTTGTAAAAATTTGAATTTCAAACGCTCATAAAAATTTAATTTGACTTTCTTATAGACATTTTTGTTTTTATAAAGGTAGATAATCTTATAAGGAATCTTGTATTACATTTTAAAATCTTAGATTTAAAAAGAAAAATTTTTACGATTTTTAACTCAAAATAATTTGCTAATTTTCGTGATTTTTCCATATTTTGTCAATTTTTGAACTTTAAATGCTTATAAAAAAGAATTGTGGCTAAGGATTTTTAATATTTTTCATCTGCCTATGAAACAATATACTAGGACCCTTCTATTAAATTTTCAAGCTTTCGCAACCAACGAATAAAATTTTATTGATATTTTTAGAAAAAAAACTAAAAACAAATGGAAAATGTCCCTAACCAGTTCAAAATAAATCAAAATATTTTGAAAATGTTATCGTGTATAGAAAATGCAAATATAAACAATCAGTGAAAATGTCATGTATATACGTTAATTTGTTTTAAAGTTACACCAAAAACCAAAATTGATTTTTCGGAAAACTGATTTTGCGTAAATTTTTCCTTAATTTTTATGTTGTTTTTCCCGGCGCTTGTGAAAACTACTAGGAAATTTTTACATAATATTACAAATAAACATAACTTGACGTATAATAATTATTGTAAGTCTAACAAATTAGATGCCATAGACTGAAAACATGAAGTTAACTACGTTCAGTTGGCTATTTATAGTACCTGGTATCATTAACATTGGGATTTTCAAACTCCCTCACCATTGCACCTATTCCTCTTATTATTACTGACGCACTGATAACAATTTAGTATTTATTTATACTGCTTATTTTTCCGATAATAGACAATAGATATTTTTCTAGTTCAGACAGTATAATAATATTAGTATATTCACTATATTATTCTAATAACCTTGATTCTAGTCAATATCACCATCACAAATCACAATCGTCAATCGTATACAAATTATTAGTTGGCCATTATGTACAGTTATTGAGTTTTTCATAAATGTAAAATGGCCAACTCAAAAGTTAAGAAACCAATTATTGGGGGGGGGGGGGGTATTATGACCACCCTACCCCCCCACTAGGTTCGCCCCTGCATTCATCACAGAGTTCAAATATGCAATTTTGTTTTTGCTTTTTTTGCTTTTTCTTGTGATATTCGTAAATAAATGCTTTATTGGTACTTTTTTGTCAGTTTATTAGCTTTTTAAATGGTTTTTGTTAATTATACGCATATTTTTTAACATTTACGTACATACCTATTTATCTAAATTATTATTTTTTCATTTATTTTAATTGTATAATCATATATATTTTGTGAATTTGTAGTGAAATATTATCGCCTTATCGGAAAAATTGTTTTCAAAATATTACAAAATATCAAAGAAATTTAAAATATCTTATAGACTTTTTTAATATTTATATAATAAACAGGTAGGTACCTAAAATATAATAAAACAGTTTTTAATTTTTTTTTTTTTCAATATTTATAAATTGTACTTAGTTGTTAAAAATATTTTTCAGCTAAACTTAAAAATAAGTCTTTTTTAGTTGCATTTTCCTGGTTAAATGCTTTTTTTGTAGCATTATTGGCAATTTTTTAATTCCTTTATTGTAGGCTTTTAGTGCTTCATTTTCCTAGCCCTAGTAATAAATAATAATATTATAAACATTACGGCATTATATTCTACTTACCAGCCTTTTACACTTAACACGATACTTTGAAAAACATGATTTTTTTGAAAATTGGTTTAATGCCTATACAGGTGCGAATGTGGAATGTAATGGACTGCATACAAGTAAAAATCTAATATACTTATATAATATATAGGTATATGATAATAGTT